CCGCGCCCGGCGCCCCCGCCCGCGCCGCCCCGAGTCACTCACCCGACGAACCACCTCTCCGCCTCCCCGGCTACTCCGGGCTGCCGCTCAGCAAGTGCCGGCACGGGCTGGTCCCGGATGGGAGGGCCCTGGGCGCACGGGGGATGTCACCGTTTGGAGGGAGCCGGAGCGCCCCTCCAGAGTCCGCGTCCTTCTCTCCGGCGATGCCAAGTGCGCGCCGAGGTCTCCGTGGGCGCCGAGGGCAGAACCCGGGTCCGCACCGAGGCGCTCAGCGGTGGGTGGGTGGGGATGCCTGGGCGAGTTTGGAAAGCTTTATTGGCAAAGTGGAGCTGGAGTTGTGATGGTGAACCGAAGGGTCGCCAGACTAGCCAGGTGTCTGCACCCCTGCTTGGAGCGGGCGGGGGAGAGAGGATGACAGGGTGTCGTTTCAGAGGGGGTCTTGCCACTCGCTCCTGGACGCCGGGTGGCCAGATCCTTGGGCACCGCTGGTGGCGCGCCAGTGGTGCTCTAGAAGGGCGCAAGTCCGAACCCTCTGCCCCGCGGAGCGTGCAGGTGGTGTTGCGAGAAGCAGCGCAAGTCGGCAGGCCTTAGGTGGGGGGCACTGGGGTGAATCTCAGCCCCGGCAGCCGCAAGCCAGGCGGCTCATCCCGGGGGCGCCGCGCCCGGAGGGGATGTTGGGGCTGCTGTCGCACAGTCGCCGCTCCCGGGCCACCGCCTCATGACCACACCGCAGCCTCGGGCTCCCGCGTGGCGCTCATGCCTTGTTGGAGGCGGCTGGCGACTGAAAGGGAACCGGGGTCTTGCTGCAGGTTCGGGGTCCCCGCTTGGAATGCAAGAGCAAACTGAGGCTGCTGGTGGGCTCAGCGCGCCGCCCTGGAACCGGTGGAACCGCACGCTCCACTCCCGGTTGATCTCGCCCAGGCTCCAGCCTTCCCCGGGTGGTTCGCTGTGGCTGGCGCCGGTAGGGCTAAGGCCTTTTATACCGCGCTCCCTCCACCGCCCAACTCCTGTTCCCTCCCTCCTACCACCCTTGCGCGGCCCAGCCCTTTGCTCCACTTGAGCAGAGCTCTGAGTAGAGCGTCTCTGGGAATCCTGATCACAAATTTCCTGGGCCATCCCACACCCTGATTCCCAGTGCCGCCTCTGGATCCCGGAGATTCTCCCTTGATGAGTGAAACGGAAACGACAAAACCAAAACGCCTTTCTGGCCGGCACGCCCCCCATTTCTTCTTTCCTCCTCCTGGTTTTAGAAATCAGTGGAAGAGTCAGACATAACGACCTTGTTCCGTTCACTTCTTAAACCAAGGCACTTCAGTTATGTCTATCCCACTGAAGACAGGAAATAACTTGCGCCTTTCCAGAAGTTCCTTGGGTCGTCGCGGAGTTTTACAGATTTTTTTTAAAGCTTTGATTAAGATACAGAATGCTGTTTGAGTAGGGGAGGGGGTGCAGCAGCCTCCTTAAAGATGGCCTTGAGCATCTTTAAAATTTTAAAGTATCCTGTTATCTTTTAACAAATTGGTGTCTGGCTCTATATCTTTTCTCTTGACGGGAGGTGAGCTTGTTTGGAGGAGGGAGTGTTTGTCCTCTACATGCTGCCAGTCCCGGTGCTGGGAGTCGAATGGATTTGGCAGCAGTGGTCTTTGAATTTGGTCCTGGGTCCTGCTGGCATGTATTGCAATCTCCAGGTTCTAAAATGTCAGTAATTGCCAAGTGGAGCGCTGGGGGCACATTGGGGAGGGGGGAACTGAAACAATAGGCCTTATGTGGTTCAGATAGGAGATCAAAGAAAGGCCTCCAGCAGCTCTCATATCCTACAAAGATCTTCCTGTAAATTTTCCAATTAGGATCACTTAAAAGGAGAGAGAAGGCTGGAACATCAGCCCTGGGATCTTACAGAGAAATTAGGATGAGGAAGTAGAAGTCTGTAGCCCAGAGATGGTTTAAGGGTGCCTCTGACTCACCGGTTGTATCAGACAGAACATGCTGTGGAATCACAGAGTCATTCAGTCCCCAGGCAGGCTGGTCCAAGTTAGAGCCTCAGCCTCCTGGTCCCCCATGTTCTTTGACACAGTCTTCTTTCTCATTTTGAAACAGACATTTTTAGGTCATAAGAAAAAGCAACTTTCAGGGAGCTCTGGTGGCCTAGTGGCAAGAAGCTGCACTGCAATCCCAGAGGTATGCAGTTTGAATCCACCAGATGCTCTCCTGGAGAAGGAGGGGCAATCTCCTCCTGTACCAGTCAGATCTGATTTGATGGTACACACACACACACACACACACACACACAATAATAATAAAATAAAATTTTTAAAAAAAAGCAACTTTAGAAAGAAACTACTCTTGAAAGAAATCTTTGAGAAAGTGTAAATTCTTACAAATTTATAAGTGGAGATTTGAGGATCAAGTCTAGGTACAGCGTGAAAGTGATAAATTGAATTTTAGGGACAGACGTCTTACTAGGATGTTAAACAGATACATAAATGAATCCTTTTGGAATGTCTTCAAGCTTTAATTCCCACTCCAAGTGGTGTTTATGTTCTAGGAGCACCTTGGTGGTACAGTCATGCTAATGATGTTAAGTAAAAGCATTGATGATTGATTCCACCTCAAAGCCATGGTCTTTTCAAATATTTGTCATGCATCTGAAAGTTGCACAGTGACTAAGGATGACCGAAAAATCAATGCCTTTGAGTTGTGATGTTGGAGAAGAGTACTGAATATCCCACAAACTACATAAAAACAAACAAATATGTCTTGGAGTAAGTTCAGCCAGGGTGCTCCATAGAGACAAGAATGATGAGCATTTGGAGCATTTAGATGAGCTCTATTTGGAGCATGTTGTTAGGAAGGGCTGGTCCTTGGAAAAGGACATCATGCATGGAAAAGTAGAAGGTCAGTGAAAGAGAAGACCCTCAATGAGATGGATTGGCACAGTGACTGTACCAATGGACTTCTGTATATCAGAGATGATGAAGATGACACAAGTTGTAATTGGAGCAAGGACAACAACATGGGGAAGGTGGAATCCAGCCCCTACTAATTCCCCAAGTGGGAAGGTCCCCATCAACAACATTCACAGTACCAAAATAATTCCTATGATGTCAGACACAGTCCCCATGCTCCTGCACCCACTTGCACCAAATCAAGCACCAATTTTGGTAGTAACCGAGCACAAAATTCATTACAATGACCACACAGATTTGGTAGAACCATACAATTGTGGGAATAATTAGGGAAGTCAACAGGCCCACCTCAGAAACAAACAATAATATACAGTCAACAACCATACATTCCTTCATCCAGACAATGTTAACAGGCTATGTAGGTGAGCAACAATATACAACAGTCCTTCAGTCCTCCAGCAAGCTTGTATGAAAGCCCTGGCTCTGGTTCTGTGGAGCAGTAGTCCCAAATTCGATACATCTAAGTAAACAGGCAGCAATCCCAAAGCAGACTAGTATTCCTGTGCTTCTCAGGCCCGACTACTACCTCTCATCCTCCAGCTAGCTTGGGGCAAGTCAACAACTCAAGCTGCTGCTCACATGTTAGTCTGCCGTACCCTGCTGAGACAGTATAACTCCTGGACTGGAGCTTACACCGTTGTTGATGTGTATAGACAGACCATGTCAGGCAGAGTGGAGGCAGCTGAATCAGGTTAACATGCTTGTGGGTACAACAGGACTGAGTCAACTAGCTAAACAAGAATCTAGGAAAGCCATTTTATGCAACAGAAAGCCATAGTCACAGACCTGCAACACTGCAACAGGGTAGGGGAAGGTCCAGATCTATTGTTCAGAAGGTCGCTATGAGTCCCTGTTCATAGGGCCATTAGGAGTCACAGTCAAAAGAGGTGCCTTGGAAGAAAAGCCTGTTATCTACTCCCAAAAACATCAAACCCTGAAACCCTACGAAGCACAGTTCTAGGGTGACATACTTAGGCTTGCCACGGGTTAGAATGGATGACAAATCAATTGATTAACTGATATGAATAGAAACATCCATGCCTATGACTAGAGTTACCAAGCAAGGTTGACAGCAGTGCTCAACTCACTTTTGAGGAGTTAGGGTAAATGGACTTTAAATGTTTATGAAAAAAAGTTTATTAATTTAATGCTGACACAAATTTCATTCCACCTATATTTATGAAATCTGCACCAATAGCTGGTAAAAGTTTAAAAGGATCCTTCCTCCTTCATGTATCTTATATATATGTTTATTTTTCACTTTACATGATCTTACTAAAATGAGTAGTTTGCATGTCTGTTTCCCCACAAAATCTAGAGCATCTTTGTGAGTCAATATTGACAAGCATCCTTCCCAGCTCTCCTCAGTATGCAGTTTTCATCTCCTGGGATTCATAACAAGAGAATATTTCCCAGCAACTCTTGCCCTCAGATAGGTGAGGAGCTCTGTTATTTTCAGTCTGACTGTGAAGTATTCTGGGTGATGATCTACATAGACTCTCTCCTTTCTACAAGGCAAAGGACTCGGGTTAAAGGAGCCTGAAACCTCTCAAAGAGAGTCACTGGAGCAGAATTACCTGCATTCTAACTTCATAAGTGAAAAACTTTTGTTGTTTGAAGTCACTGTAATGTTGGGTCATTTGTTATAGCAGCTAGCTTTACCTAACCTGACTAGTGCAGTCTTCAGGACGGGACATTTACCTAATCATCATTATGTTTCTAGAGCTAAGCATGCCTTACACAGAGTAGTTATTTATGGATATAACAAATGTAATTTTTATTTCTTGTTAGCTATTATCCTGCCAGCCCTGACTCAAGGTGGCCTGAACTCACGGTATACCAAACACAAAAGAATGAAACGCTTTTGAGGAAGTGCCAAACTGCCTTCCTAAGTGGTTGTGCCATTTTACATCCCATCAACATAAAAGTTCCTTTCTTGCCACATCCCCTCCAACATTTATTACTTGCTGTCCTGTTAAACTTTGCCTCTGCTACTGGAGTGAGAGGGCATCTCATTGTGGTTTTGATTTGCATCTCTCTTATTTCCAGTGATATTGAGCATTTCTTCATGTGTCTTTTGGCCATCTGCATATCTTCCTCTGTGAAAATTCTTTCCATGTCTTTTGCCCACTTTGTAATTGTGTTATCAATCTCTTTTCTTATGGAGGACCTGTAGGAGTCTGTAAACTTTTTGAGACCCCTGTCTGAAATGTTTTTTCCCAGTCAGTAGGTTTTCTTTTAACTCTTTTGAAAAATGTTTTTGATGCATGCAGGGATTTAATCTTTAGAAATCACATATGACTAAGCTGTCCCACTACTTGGAATATGCCCCAAGAGAATGAGAACTGGGGTACAAACGGAGACTTGTACACCACTGTTCATAGCAGTGTTATTCACCATCACAAGAACATGGAAACAGCTCAAATGTCAATCAGTCAATTGAATTAAGAAACTATGGTATAGTCACATGATGGAATATTACTTAGCATGCAGGAACAATGATTTTTTAAATAACTACCTAATTTGGGAGGGACTGTAGAGTATTATACTATGTGAACTTAGTCCCATAAAGACAAATATTGTATAAGACCATTATTGTAGAACAGGTATGAGGAGCCAGAGGAGGAGAGGGGGGAACAAAGGGGTAGAGAGGAGTAGGGAGAGCATTAATCATAGGGTTGTACAATTTGGGGGGGGTGAAGGAAATGGGAAAGATCCAGTGTGAAAAACAATGTAAATGAACTTTGTAAATGAACCAGTATAAAAGAAAATTTAAAAAAGCATGAAATACTGATCATGACATTGTCACCCATAAGACTTTTCATTATTGCATAATTCCAGAAGTAGATTTCAAGACCTTTCTTCCTATTCATCTTAATCTGAGAGCTGCACTGAAACCTTCACCATTGCAGGAACAGGATGTTTCAACTGGTAGACCAGTGGTGGGTGCACACAAAGTCCAGGAACTGTACCAGGCCTGCCATACGCAGGTGAGAATTCTACCACTGCAACGTCATCGACTTTATTTAGACTCTACTTAAACTCTCCTTATGGTGTCACTACTATAGGTGACTGGCATGCCAATATTTTTGGTTCTTCTGTATGCAGAGCAGATTATCTGAGAGGCTGGGCTCTATGAGGAGACACATG